CGATCCATTGCCGGACACGGAAAAAGACAAAAAAAAAAAAAAAAAAATTACATAAACTTCTTTAGTTTCCCTCCTTTCTACTCTAAATGTGTCTGAACCTTCACCTGCTCTTCTTCTTTACTCCTGTCTTATCAGAAGTATTCCTTTTCTAGACATGATCACCTAGACTCGACCCTTCTGCCTCTATTACTTATAATTCTCCCTGCCCATCTCACATCTAAATATATAGGCATGGTTCATATTGCTCCCATTCTTAAATGTAAAAAAAAAGGAAAAAAACGTAGCCTTGCCTTTCCTTAGCTAGGCTATTTCCTCATACTATTATCCATTCTGTACCCTTCCCTTTACTGCTAACAATATGGTTTATATTCACTCTCCAGCCCCTTATACTCTGCATCCCACTTTATACTTCTTTGAACCTGCTCTCAAAGGCCACTTACTCCTTCTTCTTCCTGATCTCTCTAGCATTTGATGGTATAGCCCCTCCTCCATTCCTGCCCTTCTGTTCTTTCATGCCCTGACATACCTCTGTTCCCCACTTGTTAAAATTCTTTTCCCTTGACTTAAGAGACGAGTTACTTAAATTAGTCTAAAACCAAATAAATTTTTCCCATCTTCCCAAACGCACCTTCTCTCTAATGTCCATATTTCTATAAATGGCACCAATATCTGTCACTCGAGTTCAAAATCTAAAATTCTTTGGTTCTTCTCCTTCCCTCATCAGTCCAAGACTACTTGGCTCTACCTCCACAATACATTTTATATATTAAACTTCCACTATCAGTGACACAGTACTTCCTTTCTTCTGCTTGAACTGTCAGTCTCTGAACTGGTCTCTCTTCTCCAAATATCCTCCACTACCAGAGTTTGATCATTTTACTACACTACTAAAACCTACCATGAGGGCCAGCCCGTGGCTCACTTGGGAGAGTGTGGTGCTGATAACACCAAGGCTGTGGGTTCAGATCCCTACATAGGGATGGCCAGTTAGCTCACTGGGTGAGCGTGGTGCTGACAACACCAAGTCAAGGGTAAAGATCCCCTTACCGGTCATCTTTTTAAAAAAACAAAAAATAAATAAAACCTACCATGGAACGCCCAGGCAGCCCAGTGACACCTCTAAGAGGCGTCCAGTTCATCTCAATCAGCCACAATCTATATTTGTCTTACTACATGGTAACCTTCTGGGTGAAAGAGAACCAAGTCATCTTATAAACTACCTCCAGTAACACTAAAGGCAGTGTCTTGATCATGGAAGTCATTTAAGAATGTTCATATTGATCTCCTTATCAACAGCAAAAAATAATTTATCTTACTTCTTCAGTGACGATTTCATGCAAATCTGGAATGCTCAGATCCGCTTTCACAAAGGGTATCTTGTCCACCTCTTCAGGAAATGGCCGATGTTTCACAGTATATTTAAAGCCAACGTCGTTTTTAGGAACTGGGCGAAGCTCAGGCACAAAAAGCTGTTAAAACAAATAACACTGTTCATAACATATGGTCCAATACCCATCTGTAATGACATGTATCCTGGTCTCTTAGATGTCTGTGTTTCCCTAGGATTACATGCCACAAAAATCCAGTAAGAATCTGCAAATGCTACAGCTAACAGTAAAGGTTAGCAGCCTGTGTACCTGTGAAGTCTATTTTATTTCTCTAAAAATGCTCATCAATTTATTACAGATTTCATGACTGATAAGTGGGTTGTGGACCTCTACTGCTCCAGGCCTGAATCTCCCATGTTCAGTGGTAAGCCAATGGGTAGGGCATTTCAAAGCTTTAAGACTCAAACTTCCTTTTTCCTCAGGGGCTCTCAAATCATTCCATATAAAAAAGCACAAGTTTAGGCCCAATGGGCATCTCTAGAAAGTTAGTTCAAGTAGAACCATAGCATGGCTTAATGGAGAGAGTATGGGCACCAAAGCTAGGTCTTCAGCTCCAAATCTCTGCTTTAATATGATATGGTACCTACTGAACCATCAATAAATTTTAGTTCCTTCCTTTCTTGCTCCCCTTCCTCCTCAGTCCTTAATGCTAACTTAGTGGCTTACAGAACTGCTCACATAATGTGCCAACATAATGCCACCAAGAGAAAATAGATGTGTGCTTCTCACAGGGTGATAATAACATTTCATCTAACAAACATCTAGGATGTTAAAATTATTTTAGGCTCATCCTCCAATTCTGTGCATGTCTCTTCTAAATGCTGGTGACATTTTATTAAGTCATAGTTTAAAATAATTTTTAGTAACATAAGTAAAAGCTTACAATGTAATAAGTGAAAAGAGCAGTATACAAAATGATTCAAATGCTATTTAAGTGCTATTGTGTATGGAGAGAAAAAAAGATTGGAAGGAAATCCACTAAAACAACTGTGGCTACCTCCCTCTGGAGAGTGAGTACAGGTGACTTTAAATTTCTTTTTTATTATCTGAATTTTCCAGCTTTCTCCCATGAGTACCATTCACATAATTACAAATGTCATAAAGAAAATAAACTCTGCCACACCTAAAGATTTCGTTAAACTATACAATATAAAAAATTATACAGCAAAAAACCAATTATACAGAAATAAATTATATAAAACAATTTTTCTTTTTTGTTTCTGCAGCTGGCCGGTAGGAGGAATATAAAACAACTTGAAACTAAGTCCTAATGCTAGACACATCAAAAGTATATGGCCAAATTTTTTTTATATATGGTGTGAATCTGACTTTTATTATATTTAAAATTGCGTGGAAAAAACTGGAGCCATTGTTCAGAACAGTAGTCCTTACTCCTAAGTGGATGTCACAATCACCTGAAAAACTTTTGAAAATACACCTGCCTTGAAGATGCCTTTAAAGAGCAATTCGGTAGATCTGGAATTCTAGGTTCCTAAGATGATTCTGACATGAATCCACTGACAGAGAACCTGGCTAGGGATCAAAAATATTTATTTTATCTGTGATTTTTGTTGAAATGTTATTTAACCTTTAAATCACAACACACACACACACACACACTCACTCACTCCTAGTCACTTCCCTATAACTTCTGATGGATACCTTCTGATTTGCTTTTGCTCCTCTGGGTAAAAGGCAAAGCTGTTGTGCCCAAGCAAGTCTTCCAGACATTCCCCGGACCAGCACAGTGACAGAAGGGAAAAAATCATCTGGAATAAAATGTTTGCGTTAAAGTTTTTATTTCAGAAAAAAATTGTTTAAAATAAACCTGTTACCAACTGCAGAGCTTCTCATAATCAAAGCTCTGGCACATGTGTTTTCTAAGCTTTGATCCTTGTGTATCACCTTTCTGGTTCCTGCCAAATCCATATACCACAAGAACTATTATCTTACTTTATGTCAACCACTTTTTATTTTTAACTCAAATTTTTTTTTTTTCCTTTTTGTCTCTTTTTTTTGTGACCGGCAATGGATCGCAACCCTCAGTGTCGCGCCCGTACCGGACCGGGACCGGCAACGGGATCGCAACCCTCGGTGTTGTCCCCGCACCTCGCTCAGCCAGTGAGCGGCCGGTCTGTATGTGGGATCCAAACCCTCGGCGGGAGCGCCGCTGCGCTTCCCAAGCGGCGCACTGTAGCAGTGCGCCACCGGGCCGGCCCTTAACTCAAATTTTAAAAGGAAATTGTGCGTCTCTACTTTAAATGAAAAATTATGAATTTTGTTGTGTTAATTATGTATTCTTAAAACACATTTAAAAATACACAAAATAATGGTAATCAACTGTCAACTAATATCACCTCGCATACCTCCAGCGGTACTTGTACACATTTTTGGGAAACTCTGCCCTAGCAAATACTCTTAACTCCCAATGTTGGGAACAACCTAAATAGAGCAAGATAGACTGGGTGTTTTCAGTGTTGACGTTACACTAACTCATGCCTTTGTGTACCACTGTCTACCACAGGCAGGCAAAATTTCCATCCCAGCAGAAGTTCAGGGGCAGTGGAGGGGTGGGGGTGGGCAGAGGGAGGAAAGAACTCCAGAAGGACTTCCTGAGTTATCCAGATCCTTCTTTCTACTCCCTTTTTTGGTCTCAGGTGTGGGAGTCAAACTTGGTCAAACTTCTCTCTCTCATTTCTTCTGGTATTAACTATCACAATAATCTACTAAAATGTCCCTGTAAGTCTATAAAATTCCAATTGTTTATATTCTGGTGGACTCCCTATGCAATGAAATTACTTGGAATGAAGGTAGGGGATTCCTAACAAACCTGGAAAAAGACCAGGAAGCCTGAAGTGAACACTGGGATCTTGCAGACTCTTTAGCAGGTGGCTTGGAAATAGGATGTTGGAGGATCATAAATAATAGGCACAGGTTAGGGAAGAAAGCCAAGCAAGCCCTATGTCTTGGGTACAGATGGAAGAGGTACTTGCAGAAAAGACTCGGGACCAGCACTTTCAGAGTTGGGCAATGATAAAAGGTATCGTTCTATTTTATATTAAAGTCACCGTATCTCACCACAACATAATGGAAATCTGTGATGGTATTCTTCCATCTCAATGTGTCACTTTCATTTTATGGATTTACGAGATCCTACTCATATATTTAACTGAATTTGCATGAGACTCTAAGACTGTTTACCTTTGCAAAGGCAAGAAGGAAAGTCTTTAATTGTAAAATTTGGGATGAATCCCAATCTCACATAGAATGGGAAGACTCGCCTTGAAGAGACCACAAGACCACGAGCAATGCAAACAGCAAGAGGTTTATTATTTCCAACGCGTTGGGTTCTCACCGCCAAGCTGGGGTGAGACCCCATTAGGCTTTTTGACTGTCTTTTTATACATTTTCTGGGGCAACTTTCCTGGAGGCCCGGAGACAAAGCAGTAAGCAGTACTTATTGGCTAACTTAAGTAACCTTACAGCTTATTGGTTGGCACCCATCCGTTTCTAGGTGATTTCCCTTCTGACTTCTTTACTGGTAGACACTTGGCCATCTGCTGGTTTGACTTAGCTATGAAGAGACATAAAATCAGCTAAGTACTTCTGTACCTCATAGCTCTGTGGTTACAAGCCTGTGCCTGTGTTAGCAAGAAAACCACAGGCTGTCAGCTCTGAGCTTTTCCTGTGTAGAGGAGAAGTAGGCCAGCTCTCAGAGACCCCTCCTCAAGCAACCACACTTCTTGCCCCACTTACCCAGGTGTGATAAGACCCCTACCCAGAGGTCCCTTAGAAAACATGTTTATGTGGAAAGTTTTATGCTTTACTGCAACTTACATTTTTCAGCTCTTGCAAGCTAGCAGAACATCCTGTGTGTCTAGCTGGCCCGGGGGGAGGGGGGGGGCCAGGTGTGTCTTGCTGTAACAGCTTCTAAGATGGCTTCACTGTTGCTAAGTTAGAGCCAGCCCGTTTACAAAAGCAGATAGCACAGGTTAGAAGTTTTCATAATCACTGAGCAAATCCTATCACTGTCTGACAATGATAGAAAGGGACAACATAGGGTTTAGGAAATCTGGGTTCTAGTCCTAGCCATAACATGTACTACTCAAGTTAACCTGGACAAGTCACACACCCTCTCTAAGCCTCAGTTTCTTCACCTATAAATGAGGGAATTACACACTAAGTGATTCCTTGGGTCCCTTTATGCCCACAAATTCTGTAACCTTCACTTGCCTTCACTTTCCCAGCAATAAGAGTCTCTCTGAAAACATGCTTCCTCTACATACTGCCTGATGCTGATTACCATCAGGAAAAAATGTACTTTGAGTAGTTTTGGTTGTACTGGTAATCACTGACCCTGATATGGTTTATAATTGGGGGGAGGGAAGGGAGGAAAACAGTGTATGCTGTGACAATGGACAATCACTGAAGAATTTTCAATAGGGTACTGCCATGGTCAGATCTGAATTTAAGGATGAATACTATGGTGGCAGCAAATATGACGGAGGTAAGGGTAAACAAATTTTGGATTGGGAAAGGGGGTGGGGGAATGAGACCAGGTAACAAGCAAACTGCAATAATCTACGTAAGAAAACGTAAGGTCCTGTAGTCGGATGTACTGAGAGGAACACAGAGGAAAGGAAAGATTCAAGAGTCACTGGAGAGGTGGAAACTTGGAAACTAATTATAAAACAGGTAGAAAGGAGCAAGCAAAGGAGACTCCTCAAATTTTTATCCTGTGTGGGTGGCACCAATAACTGAAATAGAACAATGAGGGGTGAGGGGCAGGAACCAAAGTTCAAGAGGGAAGAAAGAGTGACAATGATTTTCATACACAGTCAACAAGATAAAATATCCCACTAAAATTAACTTTTTATAAAACTATAGAGCAATTTTCTGATATTTCAGATGCACAGAAAGAACCTTTAAAGATTCTATTTAATATGTGTATGCTATTTTATGACCCTTTATTTTTCAGGTGCTATTAGAAGTTAGAAGTTAGAACTATATTTGACAAATGCAGAATTACTTAGAATTTGCAGTCTTTCCTTCCCTGATCCTGGGAACAGCTTAATAGTACTGATGAGCATATTGATTTAGCAGTAGAGAAGGCTCAGAGTGCTAAAACTTACTCTGCTCATTTCCAAGAGGTTGCTCCAGCATTGCCAGGATGACACTGTTATCCAAGACAAAGTACCGGAAACTATGCTTGTTTATGGTTGGCAGCCTAGAGTATTTAATCAAAGTGGTTTCATTCACCAGACTACAAGGAGAAGCAGGACCACTGGGTGAAGGAAATGCACCAAGCAACTGCATAATACTAGGGAGAATAAAAAAGATAACAGTTAATTCCCAAAGCAAAATCTTAAATTTACCTCATGCATCAATGTGTCCTTCCACTTTTCTGAATTTTAACTGACCACAGCAATGATTCCTCTTTACAGGTAAAATTTAGTCCTTGTGGTGAGTGCCATGATGTGTTCTCCAGATTCGCCCCTCCAAGACTGAAAGGCCCATTTCCCCAGATGTAAGTAGATGGTGGCCATAGCTTTCAGCTGAGTCTCTGTCCAGGACTTGCCCTTGGTCAATGAAAACCCCGTCACCCAAGAGCACAACTTCTTTCTGGGACAGGCCACATCCAATGAACAGTTAATACAGGAGTATACAGGGATACAGAGTCCCAGTGCCCTCACCCCAGCTCGAGAACTCTAGAGGGTCAAGCTAGCTCCAGAGCACTTGTGGCAACTGCATCGCAGTTTAGATCCTCGCTCTGCCCTATCCTGCTTCCTTCATCCTGCCATATGGATAGATCCTGAGAGTACCTTCCAACAACCTTCTTGCAAGTAAATTTCTCTCTCAGAGTTTACTACCCAGGGAACATGACTAATCACACTTCCAAATCATGACGCTCCTAAAGATATATCCAAAAATCTGTGTGCCTCAGGTTTCAGAATTATGCTAGCTAAAGCATTCAAGCCCTAGAAAAGGACCCCAAAACCAGCCAAACTGCCTCATTTTTCAGATGAGGAAACTCAGATTCTGAAGAGCTGGATGATTGTTAAGAGACCAGAAACCAGGGCCTGCTGCCTTCTGTGTGGCCATGAGTAGATATTATCCTCATTTTACAGATAAAGAACTTGAGGCACTAATAGTTACATCTCACAAAACTGTCGTAATTATTAAATAAAAGTATACATCAAAAAAAAGTTTTATGGACTGGAATTCAACTGATCAAGCTGGAACATTCAGATATGTTTATATCCATACAGATTTCTGCCTACATTCAATGAATAACAATAACTGATACAGCACTTACTATGTGCCAGGCACTATCCTAAGCACTTTACATATTTCATGTAGTTTCACAACAACCTTATGAAATAGGTACCATTATTATTCTCATTTTATAATGAAGAAATTGAAGCACAGAGAGAAAGTATCTTGTAGTTAAAACATAAAGATTTTATCTTGTTGTACTAATAGCACTTGATCGTTCATACGCATCTCATTTGGAAAGCTAATACTCCATGACACCATTCAATCCTCAGCTTGAGTGGCCTGTCCTCTTCTCTTTCATTCTAAGGCTTGAACCCAAAGATCTCTGATAATGGAAGACTACATTGCTCAACAGATATTTTTCTTCCATTGTCTCTCCTCCTAGAAAGAGGACTGTGTAAGAATTTCAAGGACCAAAAGAACTTGATGATGAGTTTAGGACTCTAATGATTTGTGGAAAACAGGAGAAACACCAGGAGATCAGTAATGAGACAATGTTGCTTTGGGTTTCTAAAACAGGACAGAGATGGATATCACAAAGCATATGGACCAAAGTAAGCATGTCGTGCTCCAAGCAATATTCTAAAATATTAAATAGGTTGCTGGTAAGGTAATAGGTCACTAAGATCAAATCATACTGGCCTAACCATATTTTCTCTTCTTAATAGTGACTAGACTGGAAGGGCAGCTAACAATCTCTGAAATCAAGACATGCAAGTATTTGACGGTGTATCATGATAAACTTGTAGACAACATTTAAAAATCCCTGTGAACCTGAAGGAAATTCTCTTGTTGATGTGCATTATGAGTCTGACTGTGTTCAATGTTTTATCAATTTTTTTATTAGAACACACAGAACAGGCTCATTAAATCTGCAGTTGACCAAAGTTGAGCTGCAGAGATAACATATCAGAGTAAGAGTTGGGATCCAAAAGAATCTTAAAAGACTAAAAATAATGAGGTAAATCTTACATAAAGAAATTTCAGGTTTAAATGTAAGTTCTGTGCATACCATTCAAATACCCACAAACAAATAAGTACAGAATGAGAAAGACAGACAAAAGGTAAATATGTGGAAAAGACTCAAGGATTTTAGTTGACAATGCAAATCACCAGGTTCTCAAAAATACAACGCAATCTCCAAGTACATTTTAACGAAAATACAATATTCTACAGAGTTTAAAGGTCATCAAACTACATCTGGAATACTGTGCTCAGTAAACCACCTGTAAGAGGTATATAGACAAATGTGCACCATTTGAGAATGACCAAGATGATAAAGGTACTTCAGTCCTTGTAATATGAAAAATATCTGAAGGTACTGGCAGAAATTAATCAGACAGAACATAAGCATTGTCTGCAGATGCCATTACTGCCTGGAAAAAAAGGATTTCACTATCAAAAGTCTGAATTAGAACCAATGGGAAGAAGTTAAGGTGCAAGAGATTTTAGCTCAATGTAAAACATCAAGTTTTTAACAATTAAAATGAAATGGGCAACCTTGGAAGTTAGAATATCCCAAAGTTAGAGATTAAATAACTTGATGAATATGTCTTAAAGGTGATGTAAGCAGAGGGGCTGTTAAAATCACTTCCAAGAATCCTAATTCTGAATTTGTATTGGTATGCCAAGGAGAAAAAAACCCAACCAACTAATCTATACTCCATAATTATCTATATATGCTCAGCACTGTGAGGTTTTTCAGAGACAAAAATGTGGATTCTGCTCAGATTGGGGAGGCAATGCTAGCATGTGTCAAATATAACCAAGTATGATCATGACAGTACAGAATTCCACGCTGTGTGGTAGGGTGGAATATAATGAGCACAAAGGTACAGAAAACAGTCATCCTTTGGAAGCAGAATAACCAAAGAAGGTCCCATGGAGACAGCCAGATTTGATACAAGCACTGAACAGTGGAGGATGTGGCCAAAGGGAGAAGTGAGAGGCCCTGAAACCCAGGGAAGGAAAACATGCAGGTAAGAGCATGCCAAGTTCACAGCCACAAGTGGCCTGCCCAACAATGGCAGAAGGAATGTGCTGAAGAGCAGCAGTGGTAAAGATCAGACAGTCCCCTTGAAAACAAGACCACGGAGTTCACATGACATGGTAGGAAACAGATCTACTCAAGTTTTCAATCACTCAAGCAGTGACTGAAATGCATGCTTAAGCATCATACTTAAGCATGATGAGTTTGGCAATAGAATGCAAGATGAACAGAAAGAGACTGAAAGCAGAAATCAGGCAAGAAGTGAGAAGGGCCTGGGCTAGGATGCTATCTAAGATTAGAGAAGATAGAAGAAATACTTTACAAAAATAAAGTCTACTGAACTCACTCACTGGTTTCATAAGGGGAATGACAGAGGTAACTCAGAGAAAAAGCCAAAGTTCTGTGTTTGCCTAACTGGCAAACAGTGGTGATACTGACATAAAGCAGCAATTGTGAGAGAACAGAGAAATTTGGTTGGGGACATGTTTCATGATGACAGTACTCTTAAAGGTATCCTTCAAGACTGGAAACTGGAGATACCATTTGTGGAGTTGCCAGCAGAGACAAGATAGCTGAAGAAAAACAGATGAGCCATCTAGACAACTACTGGATAGGTCATGGAGAGGCATCCAGGGCTCTTGACTCATCCTGAGCAAATATGCAATCTTCACTGCCAGTCATTCTTGCATAGGAACACCCCATCCAGGCTAGGATGGAGCAACCTTGTTTTTGTATAATGAAGAGTTCCCAGTGAAAAATGTCTTTCCTCATTCTTTCCATGTCATTCTTATTCTTCAAGGCACATATCAAGCACAGTTCTATGACACTTTAAAGTGTCTTCTCTCTGAGCTTTTATTACTTTTTGTACTCATGATTTATACAAGCACATGCTTCAGTAGCTGCATTCACATTTTTCTGATTTTCTAGCTATTAGCCAAAACTCCACAGTCACTGAAACTCCAACATTAGCACAGTGAGCAGGACTAAACTAAAGCAAGTACCCTTCTAAAATGTACTCAATCACTGATGCCCAAGAGGAACAGAAACAAATCCAACTTTAATGTGCATATCTCAAGTAAACAACAGGCCAATGAACTCACAAAAAATAGTGGGATCTCCTAAGAGCTGATTTACATATAAATCAAGCGGTCTTGCTTGCCAATTTGCCTGCCAATTTACTAAGAAGACCAAGATGAGCCAACGCAAACTGACTTGACATTCCTCCTCTCTGCTTTTATATTTTTCTGGGTCTTCAACCACACTTATCCTTTCATAAGCCCCATCTTTCCATCTGGACTGTGATTCCACCTAATCTTATCTACTTAACTGTTCCCTCCAGTCCACAAATGGGCCTAAACTGCCTTCCTTCTCTCTTTCCACTCTTTTCACTTACCAGTCAAACAAGAATTCTCTCGAATTTGTGCTTTTTAAGATACTTTTTTAAGGTACTCTCTCTGCTGCTTTTTTAAGGTACCAACCTCTCTGTCTCCATCCCTTTACTACCAAAATGCTTGAAACAGCAGTCTTTGTGCCTTCTTAACCCTGTAATCTGGCATATGGTACAAACTTTATCCATCCTGTCACAGTCAGGTCCAATGTCATTTCCCCTGGGAATGTTACTTTGATTTCCCCTTATCCAGAAGTACTCATTTCCTCTTTCCAACTTCCAGCAGTTTGGAGCACTTGTTTCCCAACCGATGTTATAGCTAATTTTGTTCATATCTTATCTTCCCTACTGGACAAAACAGTGGAGGTGGTGGTAGTGGTGATGAATCTCATTTATCTTTATGATTCTTTTTTTTTTTGTGTCTTTTTTTTGGGGGGACTGGTAAGGGGATCGCAACCCTTGGCTTGGTGTCGCCCGCACCTTTTGGAGCACTTGTTTCCCAACCAATGTTATAGCTAATTTTGTTCATATCTTATCTTCCCTACTGGACAAAACAGTGGAGGTGGTGGTAGTAGTGATGAATCTCATTTATCTTTATGATTCTTTTTTTTTTTTTGTCTTTTTTTTGGGGGGACTGGTAAGGGGATCGCAACCCTTGGCTTGGTGTCGCCCGCACCGTGCTCAGCCAGTGAGCGCACCAGCCATCCCTATATAGGATCCAAACCCGCGGCAGGAGCACCGCTGTGCTCCCAACACTGCACTCTCCCGAGTGCGCCATGGGGTTGGCCCCCTTATGATTCTTAAGTTCTTAAGAGAGCATTCACAAATCTTGGCTTAATGAACCTATAATATATAATATAAATGGTGTAGCAAAGAACATAGACCACTGAGCTGGAAAGCAGGAGACTTAATACTGTTACCACAAACAGAAAGATCCTGTCTCAGACACAGCCATCAAAGGGAAGGGGTGGAAAAAGTCTGTTCAAGATCCTTTCTAGCTCTAACATAATATGACTTGAATTAACATCAACCAGTAGAGAAAAACAAAGACCCAAACTCTCAGCCCCAAGTTCCTGGTTTCTTTTGTTCTAAAAAACAGGTAAAAAAAAGATTATTTTCTTTTTATTTTTTTTCTGGAGAAAAAGTATGTATCCTAAAGGGGCTAAGTCACTTAATACTGAACTATCAGGAAGGAGAGGAAACAATGTGGATCACTGCTAACCCCATCTAATTCCTAGGCACAATCCCTGTGTGGTCACTTTCATACCATGTTAGGGTGGCTTCAGCAGCATCCTTTACCCTCATAGATGCAGGGTTTGGCTCCTTATCTCCTTTGTATTTGACCTCTTGTTCACTGTTCTTGGACTTACTTCCTGAGATACCTAGTTCCACAATCTCCAGTACTTCCTTAAGGCAGTCCTAAAAGCAGGAAAGGCAGATCAATTTTTCACGTCTTTCTTATGAGAAAACAAGAAAATCCATAAAAATGCTAACTGGTTGTGTTTCAGTGGTGGGGCTCCAGTTTCTTTCTAATCTTCTTTATTAGTTATATATTAATTTCACAGTTAATATAACAAACTTTATACACACCTCAAATTTCACTTTACAGAACTAAATTTGAGTATTCACAGAGTTAGATAATAAGTAATGATAAATTCAACTCAATTTTATCTGTCACAATTTTTGTAAAATTACCATGGACTATAAATCATAACAGCACAGGCAAGAGAGATGTAACAGCAATTCAGTTAAACCTGAGATGGTTTAAGACATATGAGACTACCCAAAGAGAAACTCATCTGTGATTGACATTTTTTTTTTTCTTTTTGTCTTTTTTCGTGTCTGGCAACGGATCGCAACCCTCAGTGTCGCGCCCGTACCGGACCGGGACCGGCAACGGGATCGCAACCCTTGGTGCTGCGCCCGCACCTCGCTCAGCCAGTGAGCGGGAACCGGTCTGTATGTGGGATCCGAACCCTCGGCGGGAGCGCCACCGCGCTCCCAAGTGGCGCACTGTAGCAGTGCGCCACCGGGCCGGCCCGAATTTTCTTTTTTAATAATCTGCATAGCTGGTTTCATGTACTATCGGGTTTCAAGTTCGGAAAG